GCAGATTGTCACAACTACGCAATCGCCCAATGTTCTCAAGTATTTTAACTGCAACATCTTGAAGCATAGGCTCACCTTGTTGCATACTAGAGAAGGAGGCCACGCCATGATGTAGGGATGGATATTGTGATCCACTTTAGGTGCGGAGAGCTTGTTTACCTTCTCTGTTTTTAGGCACAAGGATAGGAAGCACTTGGTATGCCCATTATAATCAATAGAGAGGTACACAAAGCCATCTATGACCGCCACAACCTGCGTCGTGAAAACGAACTCCTGGGAAAACACAGTGAAACCAAGAAATCTGTCCGGTGAGAAAGTCTTGTGCGACATCCATTTCTCAGCACCATCACCATCGGCTCCCCAAAACCAAACCGCAAGCGTAAATTTGTTTGCAGACAAGTGATCCATGAAAACCATAGAGAGGTTCCCATCCTTGGTCAGGCCAAGCCTGAATTCTGTGGATTCCATGTCTTTCAAGTGCGGCGGCAAATCCATTCGGGATAACTGCGGTGTCGCGGCGTAGAGGACGACTATATATGCTTGATTCTTGTGTTTCCAGTGGACTAATTTATCAAATTCATCCACCTGTGTAGCAGTGTAAGGCGAGAGCAAGCACTTGTCACCTCTATGATCCCTAGGTTGCGGCTGGAAATGGGCCTTGGCCAGTTTCGAGAAGAGAGAGCACTGGGCTCCGGCTGGGCTTAGTATCTGTTTGAGGGAAAAATGATCCACTCATCTTTGTATTGATAGATTAGTTATTTATATGAGTAAAAAAAGAGACACAAGTAGGAGGTGTCTTTACATGAATAGTCATAGGCTAGAAGTCACGACGGTTGAGAAAAGGAGATGCATCGGTTTCTATAGAAAACCGCACGCACTGTTAGACAAGAGGAGATTTTCCCTCTAATTAATATATGTTAATTAATCACAACACTCCCCCTAATCTACGCTTGTCCATGTAGAATCGGCATATGATCATCAGGTAGAATCGTCATCTTGAAAGATTGTCCAGATTGCATCATCATCTCAAAAGATTGTCCAGGTTGCATCATCGTCGTCGTCATCTCTAATCGTGCTGATAACATGTTTGAGTGAAAAATGATCCACTCATTACAGGAGAATATGTCTCATTGAAATCAATGTCGGGTCTCTACGTGAACCCTTGTGCTACGAGCCTTGCTTTGTATCTCACCACCTCATTGTTCTCATCCCGTTTCCAAAGAAAAACCCATTTGTATCCGACAGGGAAAACATTGGGAGGTGTCGGTATTGCTTCAGTGAATACCTTTTTTTTGTTCAGCGATGCAATTTCTGCTTGTATTGCGTCTTTCCATCTAGGCCAGTCGGAGCATTTTTTACACTCAACGATAGTCTTTGGATCATGATCAGTGAGAAGGATATCTGTAATTTTTTCAGCAAAATATATGTTGACAGTCATAGACTTACGATAAAGATTCTCCAGAATCGATATAGTTGATGGAAATTTCCTGCACCCCTAGTGACTCTTCATGATTTCCCAATATGCGTGAGTCTGGGTGTTCTGATGGCCCAGCCAGTGTGTGTAAACTAAAGCTAGGTTGTGGAGGTTTCCCTTCCACTGGGTGTATACTACCCATAAGGTGTTTGTCAATGTTGAGCTGACTTGCATTTACTGACTCCGAGGTTTTTCTCCTCGATTTCCTTTGTTGCTTGCTGGAAGCTTGTTCCAGGTCAGAGGCCGTACTACTCCCCCTCTTTTTAGGAACAGGGAGTTGAGTGGTTTTTATTGGTACCTCCACTCTTTCGGGCACATTTCTGACTGGATTTAAGGACTTTGTAACACCTTTTAGATCAGTAAATGAATTTGGTAGGTTATTTGCAAGATGTTGCAAATTAATGATTTTCCGAACTTGGAGTTCGGTCTCTTGTGTACATGGATCAGAGGACGAAATGTCTAGAGCATTCCAATCAATTTCTGGACATTCTTTCTGGTACTTGAAGTCTCCCACTAATGTCGGAAAGTGTTCCTCATATACAATCAGCATGACGGGCGGTGAACAGGTCCCTAGTAAGGGGTTCCAGGTACTTAATAATCGACGGCGATTTGTACCCCACATAGATCCCCAGTTTCCTATGTGGGCCCATGGATGTCCGCTGTGGTGGTGAGATCGGGATGTATGTATCACATCCGAACTTACGTAGATGGGAAATGCTAGGAGGATTTCCACATACCAATGCAGAGGGGAAGTATTGTGATATGCAGTAGGCCTCAATTGTATCAAGTCAGTAGCGTGTAGAACCCATGACCCCAACAAGAGGTTGGCAAGTTGCAATTCATTAACAAAGGTCTTGCAATGAGTTTGATCCTTTTAATCAATGATTCAGCCAAACCATTTTGTGTATGGACATATGAAACGGAGTGCTGAACTTCAATCCCCAAGCCATGCAATAATCATTAAAAGCACGTGAGGAGAATTCTACAGCATTGTCCATGCGAATTGACTTAATTCGACTTTCTGGATAAACAATTGAATTTGAAAAAAGACTTCTTTCTATTTTGGATAATTTCTTTTTCAATAGGACCTCTTTTTGGAGTGAACGATCGAATATTCCCCTATTCCTTCTTATTTTAACTGATTGTATTCCATATGGAATAAGAGGAGAACAAAAGCATTCCACGACCTGCCAAGGGGCTGTTAAAAAAAGAAAGCTCTTCCTTGAATTTACTTTATTTTTATTCCTTTTTCGAACTCCAACCAAAGTAGATTCGAAGACGAGTCACTTCAATTATCCTTTTAAGTTCTATTCTATCTTCTGTCTTTCCCTATTTCGGCTTGTAATTTAAAGACTTGCATCATTATCTTGGCAAATGCATGGTTTCACGTGGATAGAAGACACACGTGTGACCATCGTGTAAATGCATCAATTAGAACCATGAAGTATCGGAAAGGTCCAGATAATGGTTGGATGGGACCACAAATGTGCTTTCAATACGTTCAAGAAACTGAAGTGGTTCAACTTGTATTTTGAGGTGAGAAGGTCTCAAAATTAGCTTTCCCGTGGCACAAGATGTGCACGCAAAGTCTGAAGATTGAGGAAATTTTGACTCAAGCAAATTATGACCAATGGAATTGCTAGTAATTTTTCTCATCATCCCGATCCCGGGATGGCCTAGGCGATCATGCCAGGTTTGAACCGCGTCAACATTTTGAAAAATTACTTTGTATGCAACATATTCTACGGGTTTGATGTACGTATAGTACAAACCAGGCGATAGAGAAGGAAATTTTTCATGTACCTGCTTGCCATATCCATGATCTTTGGTGAAGAGTAGATACTCCTCTTTGTTGTCTTCATGGGTTTTAATGTGAAAGCCATTTTTACGAATATCTTGATAACTGATTAGGGTATGTGATGAGTCGGGATACAACAAAGCATCCTTAATTGTCACTTGTGTACCGCCTGGGAGGGTAAATATGGCACATCCAGTGCCAACGATTACCGTATCGCGTCCAGCGATAGTTAGAATATCTACATTCATCTTTTTCAGAGTTTGAAAATAATTCATCTCCCTCGGTATGGAGTTTGTGGTTGCACTATCCACAAGGCATAATTCCTCTTCCATTGGATTGTCACCGTAGAGAACGTCGGTGAGGCCCTTCAGTGCTCTCGGCAGAGCGTGCTTGATAACGTGTTTGAGTGAAAAATGATCCACTGATCTTTGTGTTGATAGAGTAGCAAGTAGGAGGCGTCTTTACATGAACCGTCATAGGCTAAAAGTCACGACGGTTGAGAAAAGGAGACGCGTCGGTTGCTATAGAAAACCACACACACTGTTAGACAAGAGGATACTTTCCTTCTAATTAATACTATATGCTAATTATTCACAACAATATCGTCTATTGCTGCACTGGGCATTGTGCAGCCCAACTGGACAACAATATATGGCTACTACTCCCTCCGTTCCTTTATGTTAGGTGCATTATTTCCAGCTCGGTGACCAAGGCAGCATTTTTTGAAGCCTCCGGGACAGGGACAATACTACCCCTGATATTAGTTTAGCATTAGAAATCAATTAGCGTGAGCCTCCACTGATTTGACCGCCGCATGCAGATATGCTGCCTTGGTCTGACATAAAGGAACGGATGGAGTAATATAGTAATTGCCTAAAGAAATATAGTAAAAGTATAATATAGCAATATTAGTAAAAAGATACTAATATAGTAATATATAGAAAATGTTTTTGGTAGTTAAAATGACAAAACTCTTCAAACAAAAATACTAGAAAATTCACATAAACCTTATATAATATTTAGAGCTTAGGAGTAATATTTGCATCAAATATAAAATAAAATGCAAATAATATTGTTATATAATCCATTTTGAAATTTAAAACAATTACCTAAAAGTTAATTTAGGATATTAAATAGTTCCCCCAAAAATGGTTTTACATAAGATAAATAACCAAATAATATTTAAATAATTTCCAACTTTTTATTGAAGCGTTCAGATTACATTATCTCCTTTGATTTTATTTTTGAGTTGGATTTGTTTTAAATATAAAAGTCCAAATAAGTTCCAAAATAAATATTAGGGAAAGTACTTTTATTACCCCTCATTATAATATTCAATAAACTCCAAAAGTTTCAAATCCTAGTCAAAATTTAGTCGTCTTTAGGTGGTCTACGGACCTGAATGAAATTTTGTTACTTCTGGTTTTTTTTTTGTACTGCCATGCAAAGATCCGAAGTTTTCCCCTAAAAAAATATTTTTAATATAATATTCGTGTTTTTTTGGCAAAGCGTCTTTTTTTGTTGAGACAATTATCCGTTTTAACTAATGAAGACCATGAGGCCACCGTCCATCCAGTTTGTAGCCCAGCACGCATCGCGCTACCACATCCTGGTCTGGCCTGGCCCGGTCAAAACAAACAAAAACAAAAAGGCGCTTCTGGAGGGTCCTCTCCGCAATAATCCTCCAAACCAAAGCAGAGCAGAGCAAAGCAATCCCCCGGTTGAAGGATGACGACGGCGGCGCGGCCGACGTGGGCGCCGGCCAAGGGCGGGAACGAGCAGGGGGGCACGCGCATCTTCGGTCCCTCCGGGAAGTACTCGTCCCGCGACCTCGCCGCCCACACCTCCCTCAAGCCCAGGTAGGCAACTTCAAATTCAACAATCGTCTTCCCCTACCCGCGCTCCGATCCCGATTCCGATTCCGCGCCCTCGCTCGTGGTTCGAATCGCCCGCCTCGTCTGGTTCCGCGCCCACGCCGTCCGTCGTTGGGATTGGGGCCGGGGAAAGGGTGCTAGGGTTCGTCGGCCTCGGAGACATGCTCTCCAGATCTCCGCACCGTAGGATTGCTGGCGACGTCGCTAGCAACCTCGTGTACCGCCAGCGATGTGTGTAGTGCTTCTGCATCTGTTGTTTGGGGCCTGAATTGGGCCCTGCCGCTAATCGCGTGTGAATGGATGGATGCACCACCTGCCGTTTGGTTTGGTTTGGTTGGTGTTAGGGGTCACCTGGATCAGGTCAATTCCAACCCAATAAACCCAGGTAGGTAGTACCTGTTTGCTGCAACGACCGACACAATTAGTTACTGTAGTTGTCAACCAACATATATGTAGTAACGTGAGCGAGTCTGTTTACGTGCACTAACCTGGGATAGTCGAACAAAATGTAGCTGTTCGCAATGTTCATCCTACATACAACAAACACCTATTTTGTCTGCTCCGGCAGGCTCCATCAAGAGAGTGAATCCGGAAGCAAATGGCTTATCATGCTTCATATGTTCCTATCGTGGGGTAGGTTTATTAGTTAACCATAATCAGTAAAAAGGGCAGCCCGGTGCACGTAGCTCCCGCTTGCGCAGGGTTAGGGGAAGGATCCGAGCCTTTCCTTGCGTTTCTGCAAGAGGCTGTTTCCAGGACTCGACCCATGACCTCATAGGCAACAGCTTTACCGCTGCGCCAAGGCTCCCCTTCTTAACCATAGTCAGTAACTAACACTATATGGCCGAACTGTTGCATCAGGCTTCACACGATTAATAATTTATTTCTTGCCCCTGTCAACCATGAATGATATTAGCTGATAGTTTATATATATTTTTTCTTACTATCTTCCTCTCAATACTCGCCCCCTCTTGTGTGCAGAAAAGAGGGCCAGCAAACTCAAGAGGAGGTACAGAAGAGGAATCTCAGGGACGAACTTGAGGAGCGTGAGCGCAAGCACTTCTCATCCAAGGATAAGTCCTATGTTGGTAATACCTCTGGGCCCATCTATGCTTTCTTTGTCATTTTGTGCAAATAGTGCTTTGACATATCCTTTCTTCCGTGATGTTTGTCTTTCGTTGTTTCCTTGTACCTGTGAGTCATGATTGATTAGTTCAACCTCTTTTTTCTCGCAGATGAGAGGGACCGACGAAAAAGTTCGAGCCTGCTCTTAGAAGGTTGGTGACAACCTTAAAGCTTTAGCAAAGTCTGTTTAATGTTGTTTATTTTCAAGGCAGCATAATGATTTACTTTGTTCTTCTGGTAACCACATTCACAGGTTCAAAACGGGATGAGGATAAGATAGTTCCACGTGAAATTGATGCAGATGACTCTGACGTGGAGCTCAAAAGTGATGATGAAAGGTCTGTGTAGTTAGTTCTTGCTCAGTAGTTTATCAATCACACCTGTTCAAAATGCTGACCAGACTCTACTTGCTGTTTGCACTTGCATGGATGGGATTAACTGATACATCTTCTAACTGCATGAATAAATTGTATTGTGGACTTGGGCCGGCTGAAACTGTTCAATATGTGTTAGTTATCTAGCCTAAACTTTGTTATTGGGTGTGATATGTTTATGTTTACAACAATACATGTGGTAAAATAGCAAAAAAGAATAATGCAGCAATTGTCCCGAATTTTTTTGGGACAGAGCTGTTTATCTGGGCCCAGATTTGTAGTTCAGCTGATTATCTCAACTTATTCTATGTCTTACTCATCAAATTGAAACTTTTATTCAGCGATGATGACGACGATGACGATGACACTGAGGCACTCATGGCAGAGCTCGAAAGGATTAAAAAAGAAAGAGCTGAGGACAGGTTTAGAAAGGTTTGTTGTTTTCTTCGCTGTATTATCATTTTGAGGTGCTCTTCTTCTTTAGGTTTAGAGAATTAATGTGAAGTCCCGTCTGTTTGCTGCAGGAGCGTCAGCAAGCAGAAGAAGAGGCCAAGATGAAGGAGGCTGAGCTGATGCGAGGAAACCCACTGATCAATATGAATAACTCTGGCTCCTTCAATGTGAAGAGAAGGTTAAGACAGTGATGCCTTGGTGCCCTTGTTTTTAACGAAAGAATGCTGCCATGCTTTATCCTGAGCTTAATCCTGTTCATATATGTGTGTTGTCGCAGGTGGGATGATGATGTTGTATTCAAGAACCAAGCTCGTGGAGAGACTAAGACACCGAAACGGTTCATCAACGACACCATCAGAAGTGATTTTCACCGCAAGTTTCTGCATAGGTACATGAAATGATGCTGCTTTATGCTTTATGTTGTCTGGACTGTATGCATGCTGGAAGAGGAGCCTGTGATGTTTCTGAATTCTGAAGATCAATTTGTACGACATAACTGTAACATCTATGTTACCTGTACGGTGATATGTTTACCCTGTTCCTAAGAGTAAAGAAAAGAACCCACTGCTTGTGTTTTACTGATGCTTTGCCGTGACCTCAGGATCTTTCTGTTAGTATTTACTACTCTCTCCGTCCCATATTAATTGTCGCTTAAACGGATGTATCCATTTCAGTGACAGTTAATATGGGACGGAGGGAGTATTTGAATTCTTTCAGACCCACTTTGACCTGGAAAATATGCATATTTGTGGTGTACTCTCAGTTTGTGTGACCGCCCAGCAGTGTCTTGGAAAATGCTTATGTTTTTAGCTGAATTCATTTAGTGCTTGAAACACCAATTTTCTGGTCGGCCTTCTCTTGGGAAAATGATTTTAACTGAATTAGCAGCCAAGGTTCCTTCTCTATTTGATTGCCAGTGAGAGTTTAGCCGAGCAAATTGGCAGGTTACCCTTTGCCTCTGTTTCTCATGGCATTGGAGTCGTTGTACTGCTTGGAGATTGACATCCTGGTTCTCCATTGTTGGCTGGCCACTTTTTCCATGGCTGGTTGGGAGGGGCTAAGGATAACATTTATTTTCTCTCCTTGTTTAATTGCCGAGTGAGTTCTGCTTGCATGGTTGCATCTGCTGTATTCTTACTTTTGCAGAATCTGCTGTCTTGATTTTGTCGATTGATGTTGAGGTAATGTTGCTTGTTATCAAATTCAAATGAAGTAGGTAGCATATTTTCCTTATAACATTTTCTCTGTTCTACTTTGGATTTTTCTTTTGTTACACGCAAATTGAACTTCTATTTGCGTGCTGCCCCCTAAGGGGAAAAAGGTCTTACGTGAGCCTGCAATCGAAGTTATGTTCTTGATTTGTTTCTTGCTGTCTGGTTACTGCCTGATTTGTGATTAGTGTAGAAGTAGTTAAGAGTTTTAGCCGAGGAAAATGGCAGGTTACCTTATGCCTCAGTTTCTCATGGCATCTGGGTCGTTGTGCTGCTCGGAGACCCATCACTCCTGGTTCTTCACACTGTTGCTGGCTACTTAATTACCTTGGGGCTGGTGAGTGAGGCTAGGTGGACATATTCTCTTTGTTTGCATTAGTAAGTTGTCCTCCTTGCTCTGCAATTTTCCTGTTGTCCTGTGATTGAGATCTGTTTTTGTTACCATGGCTGAAGTTATCTGCTGTTTTTTTCAATTTCGTCGGTTGTTATGCTCAGGTTATTGCTATCTACTACGTACTACTTTGTCGCTCCTCCTGATCATGTTTTTTTTTTCCATTTATTTTTTGGTTTGTTGGACACTTGGTTAGTTGGTTAATTTCTGATTAGACTAGACTGAAGTTGTGGGATTTCATGTGAGCAAAATGGCAGGTTGCCCGCCTTTGTTTCCCATGGCATTGGAGTCGTTGTGCTGCTCGGAAATCCACCACTCCTAGCTCTCCAATGTCCATGCCCACTCCACTATGGGTTTGGTCGAGAGGCTAGGGTAATATTAATTTCCTCTTTTCATTGTGTTGAGTTGATTCTGCGTGTATTAATTCGTGTTGGACCAAGATCAAGATCGAGGTGCTGTTAATTCTGTTGTTCTTGTTGATTGAGACAGTTGCTTGTTATCAAATGCAGTTGATCCTGTTCTTTCCTGGTCCGCCTACCATCTTCAGCTGCCTGCCTGCAAATCAAACTGAAAGAATACTTGCTGCTCCGGTTGCACTATTTCGTTGCACCCGTTCTTGCTGCTGCATTCATATGGTGCAATCAACCCTGTCCCTGAAGAGATTGGGCCGTATTGTCCATAGATCAAATTAGGATGAAATGAATGCACACGATGGTGATACTCTAACACCGTTCCGAAGGCAGAACAGCAGTTTGACTGCTCCTGTAGTTGTTATACAATTAATTTTTGTTTAGATTAGTCGCATAATGTTAACCGCATCACAAAGAAACTAAGTAAAATCACTCTACACAAGTGCAGTTAGTGTTTGCTCCCTGTTGAACATCCAGTAGCGGCTGTTAGCCTTTTGAACAGACCGGGCCGCCTTTGTTTGGCAGAGTATCTGCTGGGATTAGAAATGCCAAGACCCATATTATCCTCTATGATATATGCTGGAGCAATCAAGGGCGGTGGGATATTGGTTTTGTCCCTGTGAACCATCCATGCGTGTGATGAAGACGATGAAATTTTAGTCTTTGTTTTATTTTCTTAACGATGATTAGTTAATGGTTTTACTAATTATGATGGTTGATGGTGATGTTCTTTTGCTCTGTGTTTGTGCCAACTTGTAAAAGCTACGTTTGGATTCTATCATGTACTCCCTCTGTTCTTAAATACAAGTCTTTTTAGAGATTTTAATATGAATTACAGATGGATGTATATAGACATAGTTTAGAGTGTAGATTGACTCAATTTGCTTCATATTTAGTCCTTATTCGAATCTCTAAAAAAACTTATATTTAGGAACGGAGGGAGTAATATAAGAGGGATTATGCTTGCTAGATGTTTGGTACTGTATTAATTAATGATAATGGAACAGGGAGGTTCGGTAAGTGCTCATTATTTATTTTTTGGAGAAAAAGTTCTGTCATTTGAGGTAATTGGGTGAAGTAAAAACTGACACATATGTTCTTCAGATGCTAATAACCTTCAAAGATAACCAAGATGGGAGGTTTCCATTACAACACCAAGCAAGTTAAATAATAACCAACATGTTGACCAAAGCACGGCAAGAAACGAGAGTATTTCTTCTGCTTACATAAAATCTGAGTCAAAATAAACGAAACCCACCAAAGTCACAGCTGGTGCAATTCATCTGATGCTCACAGGATTGAGTTGTGATTCCAAAAAGAAACATAAGGTGGGAGAAAGAAACATTACGCGATTGAGTTCATACATTATGTTTCACAGACTAACTACGAAAAAAGAAACATTAGGTGATGAGAAAAAGGAGCCTCAACACTAAGTTTCAGGCATGGCATGTCAGCAGGAAAAGGTACATAATATTCATAACAAGAAACCAATGCGCCATCCGCCCGCCGGTCCCCATCTACCGTCCAGGAGAATGCGCACCCACCGGCATCCGGTTGCCATCTTACAGCAGACAAGCGTTTCCGAAACAAACTAACTGGGCGCCCAATGCCCCCAATCTAGCATGTATGTTTCTGAGTCTCTATTAGGCACCCAGAATCCTCCTAGTGATGAAAAGTAATATCCAGGAATGGCGGTCTACAGTATAACAGCAACTTCATTTGCGTTGCTTAAACTTGTCGTCGCCCTCGTAATCCGAACCCTCATCGTCATCGTCTGACTCCTCCACCTGCTTAGGCACTGCTTCGCTATTGGGTTCCTCGCCACCACCGCTTGGTTTGGCCCGCTTTTCATTCTTACGCTGCTTCTTCTTTTGGCGCTTCAGGCGCTTCTTGGATGTTCGCTCCTCGGCTGCTTTCAGCCTTTCGTCCCTCCGCAGATTGAACTCGGCCACCTGCTTCCTCTTTTCGTAATCAGTCTCCATCCTCGTTATACGGTCCTGTTCCCTTCTCCTCATTTGCCGATACTGTCAAAACAAGAGTGCTTACAGTTAGTTAAACCATCAGATTATTAACTACCAGTGTGTTTCCATTCAAGTTCTCAAAACTATCCATGTCATGAAACTTGAGAAAACTGGAGCTAGCTAGATTTGTACATACAAAAAACTAGTAAATTAGTTGAGAACACATCAAGAAAAAGTTTGCTCTAGCTCTGTGAATGCTGGAACAGGAGGAACCAAATACAAACATCATGATTTTCCGCTGCTCTCATGTTACCCAAGAATACTGGTGAAGAAACATGATGGACAAAATATGACTTGAATTTATTATTATCACAATTCTCAAAGAAAGCAGAATTTGAATGAACTTGTGTACAGTCTCAGCAACACAATCTCCACTATGATAACCTTTGTCCCACCCAGTTACTGACGGTGATTGTATGCATCAATCTGAACCCACACACAAGTCAATAGCAGTTCTAAAGTTAAGCTAGGATCGTGCCCACAAGCCAACAGCAGTACTTCATTTTAATAACTCAAATGAAGAGTTATAAGTGGCAAAACACTAAATCTTCTCCTGGTAGGCTGATAGCAATTCGATCTGGCCTCCGTTCTATTGCAGCACTCATAAGCCACTGGAACTTCTGATTATCATGTGATGGTGCCTATGATCGCAGCTAAGCCACAAATACAAAGATCTTGTATCTGATCCCTTCTCTTATATCACATCATAACTTAATAGACCTTCACATTTTATCAAACAGTGGTCATTAGTCAGCCTTTTAACCTCCCATTTGATTAAGTGATGCAGCAAAACATATTCTTTTCATTTATATTCAATGATGTTACCTTAATATCCACAGCAACTTGCATTCTAGAGATTCATGAATCGAGCAAATTTTAAACGTCTTATTGTTTTGGTATAGTCAACTGCATAACAGCATACACAAAATTTACTCAAGTGTTTTCTACTGTCAGTATTCTTAAGAACATCGACAGGTAAAGGGACTTCTGTAAATGCATTTTTTAACGCAAGCACAATGTGTTTTCTTCCTATATAGACACCAGAACTATTTAGAATCAATAATTCATGTTCAGATGAACCATAGACCCAAAATTTCCTTTAAGACAAAGTTCAATAAAATGGCAACTTCACCAAAACATTGAACCATCTACTCAAGTGCTAATTGACAAATAAATCTCATCATAGCCATAATGTAGAGTTATGCGTGAGTCCTATCCGCATAATAAGGAAAAGAAAAAAATGGTTCACCCTGACACTCATTTTAGCTGAATTCTCCACTTGTACGAGGGTGGGAGAGAGAAAGAGTACCTGGTGGAAGTCGCCAGAGCCAGAACCAGCAGAGGACCCAGAGGTGTTGCTGGCACGGA